CCACGAGGGCTCCCTGAAACTTGCCCTCAAAATTCACTGCCATCGAGTCCCATTCTCACTCATTGTGACCCTACAGGACAAAGCTGAACTGTCCCAGTGGGTTTCTGAGAGTGGCACTCTTTATGGAAGTAGAAAGCCCTTTCTTTTCCCTGTGGATCGCAGGGAGGCTTCAAAGTGCTGACCTTGCAGTTAGCAGCCCAAAGTGTACCCATTCCGCCACCATGGCACAGGTATAAAATCAAGTTCATATCTACACAAAAGTTAATTCCACCTGGATTAACAACCTGAATGGAAAAGCAAAGACGATAATGTGGGAGAATACTTTCCTTCTCCTTACAAAGGAGGTTTTTTGAGCAAGGAACTGAAAATACAGTCTATAAAAGGGACAATTTCACCCAACTAGAGCAAAAAGAACTAATTTGTTTCAAAAGACCATGAAAAAAAATGACAAGTCAGAAATTGGAAATGATCTCCAGCACACAGAACCAACCAGGAGTCATATCCAGAATATATAGAGTTCGCCCACAAATTAAAAGACAACCCAATCGTTACTTCGTAACAAAATAAATAAATAAGATCACCAATCAGCCAAAGCTGAGGCCGCCATCGAGTTGACTCAAACTCATAGCAAAGCTGGGGGACCGAGAAGAACGCCCCCAGGGGCCTTCCAAGGGTGACACTTTCTGGAAGCAGCTGTAGCTTTCTCCTGCAGAGCTCCATTAGCAGCCGAGGGTCTTTGGACCATCAGGGCTCCTTCCAAATCACCAAGAACATACATGAAAAGATGCACCATCTTATTAGAGTACAGAGAAATGGCTTAACAACACTGCAGAAATGTTTCTGTAGAAATGCTTGACATTAGGTACATTATAATTATCTGCATACAGATCATTTTCTTATCATTACATTCTTATCCTGATACTGAAAAGCAAGCTTAGGTGTGTTTATGGGTTGGTTCACCAGACAGCAATGTCCCTCATTCTCGCCCCAGACACTCCAGACCCTTAAGGAGTTCATCTAAAAGAGAGAGGAAAATTAGAGCTCTACCAGGAATGGGTTCCAGTCTCAGCTAGGCTTCTAATGAACCGTGGGCAACTTCTGCAATCGCTTCTTCTGGGCTTTCTTATTTATCACACACAGCGATAAAGCTCGGTGAGCTCCAGGGCCCCTCCCACCCCTAAAAGTCTAAGTCGGAGCGTGCACTCCTTTATAGCATCTTCTTGCTCACTCATTCTTCTAGTCGTTCTGCCACCAAACACATTTCCCTTAACTCTGTGTACCTGGAGACATGCAGGTCAATCTACCCTGGTCTCCTCCCCGGGGTTCCGAGCCCAGGGGAAGATAAACACGAACAAAGCCCAGTGATGCGCCAAGTGCCACAACTGAGTGTGCCAGGGGACGAAGGTGGTCAGAGGGAGAACGTGTACACTGGCAACCCCCGAGGGAGCTCTATGTGTCCTCAGCATTACTATGCATTTGGGTGAAGTCTATAGCGCCAGCTCCGGTTGACTGGTTTGCACTGAGCCTCTTAAGCACAGGAGCATTTGGCTGGAAGAGAGGAGACATAAGGCAACGGAGGTTCTGGCACAGAGAGGCGCACGGGCGAATCCTGAGAAGAGTGGGAAAGCGAGGTTCTCCAGCCTCTGTGCATGAGGACCGACAGGCCTCCGATGCTACACAGCTCCGGGAGGAATGAGACATGGTAAAACTGAACAAGAGGAATCATCCCACTGGGTACACCCTGGTGCAAAGGTGCCGTATGGAATGTGGCCAGGAGTTTATTTCTTACTGACTTAGGGAAAATGAGGAAACTCGGAGCGGAAGCGGGGCCTTCAGTAAAGAAATCTGGTGAGTACTAATGAGTTCTGCTCAGCAAAGGTTGGCAGTTTGAACCCCTCAGCAGCTCCTAGGAAGAAAACGCCGGGCAATCTGCTTGTGCCAAGACTAGTGCCCAGCGCCCTGTGGGCAAGTGCGGCCTCCGCCGCCGTCACAGGGGCTTGGGATCAGTTGTGCGGTACGTAGTGACAGATGAATTACAGCGGCCCCAAAGAGAGCCAGAGTCAAACATCTGTGAAAAGTGAGGATAGAAAGAAGTGAGCCTGGGAAGAAAGATTGATCGGAGGGAAATCAGAGAAGCAGCAAGGTTAGAATCAGCTGCATGATGGGCTTCCAGTGTTGGGGAGCAAGGACGAGAAAAGCAGATGGCTCTGCTGCGGGTTGTTTGTGGAAACAGGACGTGAGTAGATCGTGAGGAAAAGGAGGTAGGTTAACATTGCAGCACACTGAATCTGAAGTGCGTGACAGTCATGCTGGGAGAGAGCTCGGTAAGATGCGGTCAGAAACAAAGACACGGAACTCACAGAACGTTTCCGTGGCCAGGGTGGGGAGGGCCTAAGGCCTGTGAAGGTATCAATGCCAGATAACAGTATGCATCTCACCAAAGATAACAGTTAACTGTTTGCCCAAATAGAACAGGCTAATTTTCTAAGTTGAGGATTTTGAATGGCTTAAGAATGACACTATAAGGGTCCATATAATCCTCAGCATGAAAAGTTCCGCACCCCTGCCCTAATGGTAACTGCTGGAGATAGCTGACTGCCAGTGTCCACTCTACACAGTCCATGTAACCACTGCGTAGGGCTTACCTGTGCGTCATCAGAGTACCGACAGCCTCACAGGTTGAAACCATGGAAGAGTATGTGGCGTGCAAAAAGGATAACGGACAGAGTCCAGGGTACATCAACATTGAAAGTGAGGGTGTGCGGACTCCTCTCCCAAAACAGAAGCTGTGAATATGCTGGTGCCTTAGGACAGTGGTTCTCATCCTTCCTCATGCCGCGGCCCTTTCCTACAGTTCCTCCTGTGGTGGTGACTCCCCCAGTCATAAAATTATTTTTGTTGCTACTTCATCACCGTTATTTTGCTACTGTTATGAGTCAGACGACCCCTGTGAAAGGGCTGTTTGACCCCCAAAAGGGGTTGCGACCCACAGGTTGCGAACGGCTGCCTTTGGAGGTTATTGGACGAGTATGGGGTTGGAGGGTTTTGTTTCATCTATAGAGTTCTAAGTATTCTTTCAAGGACCCTTGGTGTATAGTGGTTCTATGTTGGGCTATTCACCATGAGGACTGCAGTTCAAAACTACCCACTGCTTCATGGGATAGATAGGGCTTTCTACTCCTGTAATGGGTTACGGTCTTGGAAACTCACAGGGGAGTTCTAACCTGCCCTCTAAGGTCTCTAGGGTCTGACTGGAGTTGATGGTAGTGAGTTTTGTCTTGAGTTTTTGAAGCATTCTTTTATGTCAGACGCACACCAATAAAAAGTACAATTTACAAATGACTGAGTTACTAAAACTCAAAAAACCTCACTGTTATCAAGTTGATTCTGACTCTACAGTCTTTTACATGGGAGTAGACTGCCTCATCTTTCTCTCTCAGAGAGACCGGTGGTTTTGAACTGCTGATCTTGTGGTTAGCAGTCCAACGAGTAAACCACTGTGCTACTAAGAATTGTAAAAGGCTTGCTCTACTAGACTGCAACTTTTGCACACTGCCTCCTTTCCTGCCTCTTGAGCTTCTGCTTACCCCATCAGGCTCCACGGGGCCTGTGTGAGCATCATCAGCTGGTGTTTCCCGGTGCTCAGGCCACCTGTCTGTCCCGTTTTTCACACACACTACACTCTTGGCCCTTTCAAGGTCTGACGTCCCCTTTGACTGGAAGCTCTCGTCTTAGGGTGCACCAGCCTGGGTTCTTTGGGCCTCCAGGACCAGCCTTTACAGAGACACCTTCCTTGACTGATTTCCCTCAAATCAAAATAGCCTCCTTGCTATCCAGTCGATGCAGACTCACAGTGAGCCCACTGTGGGTTCCTGAGACCGTTTATGGGAATATAAAGTCCAGTCTTTCTCCCGTAGGGCTGCCGGTGGTTTCAAACTGCCAACCACGTGGGTCACAGCCCAGTTCCTTTTATGTCAAGCCATACCCCGACCTTATTTTCTACTACAGTAAGTAAGCTACTGCCTCTCCAATCTATAACTCCGTTATTCACGGTCTCTCCCACTAGAATACAGGCCTCGGGCTCACCGTTGTGTCTTTCGTCTTTAGAACAGTTCCTGGCAAATCACAATGTGCTCAAGACACATTTTGGAATGAACTAAGTCACTGAACATCTCCCTCTCTAGTTTTCTCCACTGGGATCATACACAATTTCTTACATTCCAGGTCTTTTACTGACGTGTAGTAACACACCAGTAGTCATTCACTGGGCTGCTAACTTCAAGCCCAGTCGTTCAAAACCACCTGTCCTTCCTTGGGAGAGAGACTAGGCCGCCTTCTCCTGTAAAAAGGTACAGTCAGAACCCCACAGGGGCAGTTCTACCCTGTCCTACAGGGTCCCGACGAGCTGGAATCGGCTCCTTGACAGTGACCTTTGGAGTTTGTCAAATAGGCGATGCTTCTAGGTGCCAAACATTGTACTAGAACCTTTATTTGTATCTTTGCACCCACGTCTCAAAACCTTCGGGTCTCATAGAAAGGTGCTATTCAAACGATCTTCACTGTACAGGTGAGGATATAAAAGAGGTTGCACAACTTGCCCAAATTCACACAAGTGTTGTCGGGGTAAACACCTAGTTCTGACTTCAAAAACCGTAACAAAGCCAACCCACTGCTCATTTCCAGCGCGGGCACACATTCTAGTTTGGGCATTCTCCATGGAGTTTTACTCACGTTGCGATTGCACTTACGGGATCCAGGCCCCGGTCCAATCCATACGTGCAAATTTCACCCCCCCTCCACCCCTTCGCAAGCAGGTGAGGGCGGCGAACACTGATGGACTCGTCTCGAATTTCTCCCGAGGGAGACGCATGTAGGTAGAGGCGACCCACGGGTTAGCAACTTCTCACTCAGTTCTAAGGAATCGGGGATCCTGGGGGCTAACCAGCCCTCGTGGCTGCGAGTTTGTAAGTCGACAATTCCCGCACCGCGGCAGCGCTTACCTTAACTGCCACCTCGGGAGCCGAGTCCACCGCCACTGCCAGAGAGGACTTGGCCGACGGCGACTTAGTCAAATGCATGAGGGAATCGGCGGCTGGGAGCGAGCACCGCCCGCTCTCATTGTCCGAGTCCGATTCGGACCCTGAACCCGAACCATAGGAAGCAGCCAGCGCTGCAATTGCAGCCGACATGACGGCAACAGCTCCTCGGTGGAAACCAGGCCCCGGCGGAAGTGGCTTCCAGGTCCTTACAGATTACCAAGGAACCTATTACTTGCTTCGCTTTGAGGGGAAAAAAATCATTTATAACATTTTAAAATAATAGATTAATTAATGGGATAAGTGCACCGTAAATAAGAATTTGAAAATAGTTATCTAGAGAAACAGAGACCGCTAAATGGTGTACCGCTTTCGGGACCTAGGTGACTAAACCAAGGACTACGAGTTCCGAAATACTTTGAGGCCTGGCCGCCCCTGACTCCCGGCATGCAACGCGGCCGGACGAAGGCCGAGGTACAATGGGAAGTGTAGTTTCCAGCGAGGGGGCGGGGTGGGGCGGGTCTGCCTGCCTTTGACCCCGCCCCTGAATAGATGGTTCATTCAATTGGCTAACATCTTCCCTCATTCCCTAGCCAAGCACCGTTCTCTCCGTCCCCCTCCCCCAAACTGAGGCTTGGGCAATACCACACGGCCTCAGGAAAGAGGGGACCAGCGATGATTAACCCCCCCAATGATAGGTGAGCGGGAGGAAGCGGAGTTTGCCGCCACCAGTCCACCTGGGCACTGCGGACCGGAGCGGAACGTGGGCGTCTGGAGGGCCAAGCCCTGGGCTGGCGGATTCTACTTCCCGGTGGGCAAGGTGGGAGGTGAGGTGGCGAGCGTCCAGCGGTGGCTCCCCCTGCTCCTGGCGCGGGTCCCCTCGCCCGGTTGTGGAGCGCCGCGCGCCGGGAGGGGGCCGGTGGGGGGCGGCGGCGGCGGCTCGCGGTGTTGTTCGCCGGCGCGTCGAGCACACGGTGAGTCCGGCGGCCGGCGGACGCCGCAGGCGGCGATCACCGGAGCCTCGGAGCCTTGGCCACTGCCGGGGACGAATCCCACCCCGCGCCCGACGTTCCCGGGGGCTCGAGGCGGAGTCTAGGGAGCTGAGGGGGCCCGGCGGCCACCTTCGAAGCATGAAGTAGTGGTCAGCGGGCGCCCCAGAAGATTGAACGGTGAGCGCGAGTCTCCCAGGAATTGCCTCTTTTTGGGTTTTAGGGCGCGGGGGATGCTGCGGCCCGGGGGCCGGGGGCGTCTCGCCCGCCCCGGACGGAACCGAGCGAAGCGAGCGTGTGCGGGTCTCCGGCCCGGCAAAGGTGAAGGCGATGGGCGCGCCTGCCCTGCGATGGTCCCCACCCCCACTCGTGGGTTTCCCGAGCTCCTGCCGCCCACCCGCCAGCCGGGCTGGGTGCAGAGGGAGGCGGCCGCGGGCGCGCCCGGGTCTGGGCGGCAGGGGCTGCCCGGGGGCTGCTCGAGGCGAAGAGGCTGCAGGTCTCACCTGGCGTGCCATCCCCGGAGCGTGCCTGCCCACCCGGATCCAGGGCTCTTGGCCCCTGGCAGTGGGGCGGCTGCCGCACCGGGTCGGGTCGGGAAGCCCCAGCTCACGTTCGGTGGCCGCGCCTTGGGGAAAGCGGCTGCATTTTGCGGGTGTGCGCCGTGCGTCTGGGTCTAAAGACCTAACGGTAAATCGAGGTGGGGGTGCTATTCATTTGAAGCGGGAGCCGACGCCTCCCATGCCCTTCCTGGGGGTGCCTCCGGCAGAGTTAAGGATCTGCCGGCCCGGCTCCGCTGTCTCCAGGACTCGCCCATTGTGCCACCCAGATAATTATTCAACTCGGCAGCATCCATTGCACCTTTCCCATTTTCCTTGTCCCCTGGCTACAGCGTGCCCCCTAGCTTCGGTACTCGGACGCCTTCTCGCACTTGCGGATGCTGAAGCGAAATCTTGGTACAAAGACAACACATCTGACCTGCAGGTTCGCGACCTGCCCCAGAACCAATTACTGAATCCATCCCTGGCTGCTAGGTGCTTTCTCACGACTCACGTCAGAAGACGTGCAATGCGTTATACTTTAATTCTCTCTCTACTCCTCCCCTCCCCCTGCCTTTTTGGTGTTGGATTCACGTGCCAGTTGTCATGTTTCTGTTCAGCAATTGATTTGGTGGTTATTCGGTACATCGTATCAAATGTACTTTAATTTGCACAGGAGGCAACTGCCATTACCTAATTGTTGGTGGTACTCTATTTCTCATAGCTACAAGTACCGTGTTTATGAACTCCAAGGGAGAGTTTGGCCAATTGGGCAAAGTTGCTTTAGGAGAAGGCATTTTAAGTCGAATTTTTGGCTAAAGTATTTGGCATGACCTTTCCCAAATTTTGATTGAGAAAAGTTTTGTGTTTCTATAGCAGTACGGAATCTTGGATTGCTACTAGCCTGCAGTTGAACGGAGAGGTTTGCTGTTTAAAATGGGGTTTTCACTGCCATATTGAACATTCCCTCGTTTATTGAAATCTTCACATCCTGTCCTTGCAATATCATGCCCTTAATTACTTGTGAGAGAATTTCCTCTCATTTTCCTAACTTCTGCCTACAAACAGGAATAGGCTCTGGTTTCTTTAATGATCTATTTGAAAGATGGAATGATTTTGAAACTGATAGAAACAACTGTTGGTTACTTGATTATTATGCTAAAATATTTAGACATGATGCTATTTGAAGATAAGTTATAAGTTGTTCCCTGCCCCAACCTAAGTGTTTTGGTTTGATTTTTGAAAAATCTCTCTCCAGCTTTCCTTGTTTCCCCTTGTTGTATTAGCCCTTAACCCATTCGATCAAAAGGAACAGTATGTGGGTAGGCATTGCAGGGGCAGTTGTTGAGGTACAGTAATTGTTTTGTGGCACTTGGAAGTGGCTCACGTATAATATAACCTGGTGTAGGATCAGATACCTGGTTTGGAGATGACACAGCAATTGATAAAATGGACACCTTCCTGCCTTGGTTTCCCTAAGGGCAAATGAAGAAAACACTGACTTACATCACTGGATAGTATGAATACATTCAATAAAGATGATTTGAAAATATTTCCAGTGGATCTCAGAATATTTAGTTGATAATGAAAATAGGTCAGTATAAACAGTGCTTCAAAAAGCCACTGTAATTTTCCTGGGCACGTGAGAATGGCTCATTTACATTGAATTCTGCTTTGGAGAGGAATAAGCTGTGGCTCCACCATACAGAGACGTTTAATATTTGTAGATTTACAATCCATGTGTAAATACTTAGTAGTGACAAAAAAAGTACATAGCTTAGTGATGAGACAAGTGATCTGTTAAATGAGTTGTGGAAGATAACATTTCCAGAAAACATTAAGGTATTTTCATTGAAAAAATTTCAGGTTACATATTCCAAAATAGATAGTTATGATCATGGGTAACATATAAGATGCAGCTCCTTTTTATTATTAATATTTATAAATAACTGTATTATTCAAGGGTAATATGTTAATATTGTAGATGATTATAATTATATACTTTATAGGAATTGCTTGTGACAACCTTTTTTGGGGGTTAGATTTTCATTGCTACAATAGAGAGGAATAGTTTAAGATACTTTTTTTTGGTATTTAATTTTTCTTACAATAGTAGGTAGCAGCTTTTTATTTCTTTTATCAGAAAATTTCACTCAATTTTCCTAGCAACACCTACTATTAAGATATTATATTATTAGAACTTGTACCAAACAATGCTTTGGGTTACTTATGGGGAAACTAAGACCATTAAAATGTATGTTTAAAATTAGTATGTTGCTTCTCTTTTCTTGTGAATTAATTTGATGACATTTTATAATCATTTTAAATGACCAGTCAAAAATTCAGCTGTCACTCTTATTTGGATAAATGCAATTAGCTAGCATAGTTTGTCTGTGTCCCACAAGGACAGAAATTGACCCAATATGCTTATTGTCATAAGCCCCAAGCCCTTAGCATAGTGTGTAGCACATAGTAGAGGTCCAATTTTCTTTGTTGAACAAATAAAATGAAGGCATGAAGATTGTCCACTTAGCTAATTGAGTTAAAAATTTGTTAAAGTATATTTATCAACTGCGTTAATGTATGAATCATAATAGCTTTATCTCAGAAAAAGGAAAAATGTATTTGGGGTTCTTTGAACTCCATTTGTCTCTTTAGATATAATTTCCAATTCCTTTCCCACACATTTTTAAAAATAGCACTAGCTACTGAATAATGTATAAGTTGGCAACTTTTCGCTTGTGAAAGATTAACAATTTTATTTTCACCTCGTATCTGGCTTCATGAAAAAATATATTAATTTTCTTGTTTTACCTAAATTAAATTAGTATAAAAATGTGTTTCATTATTTTTTGACATCTCATTTCCAAGCAAAATATTAATAAGAGTATGTGTGTTGATTAAATCCAGTGCTTAATGTGTGAGTTGTACTTGGCTGCTGTTGAGTCGGCTCCCAGCGGGTCCGTGGGGCTGCAGTGGCTGATTTTCAGAAGCTTGCCCTTCTACCCTGTGTGGCTGAGGCTGGAGGCACTGCAGGCCTCCCCTGGCACACACGGTGTGGTTGCCAGTCTGGGTCTTGCACGAAAAATGAGGCGTCTGCTGCGAACCCCTCCCCTACCGGTACCTGATTGAATGATTAGAAAAATAGTGATCCCTGTGGTGGATGGAACTTTTTATAAAACAAAAGGCTTCGTGTTTACTTTATTACATTCTGTTTATACTTTTCCATCTCAGTGTACTTGTAGTCTCTTTGACTGAAGTTGATTTTGTTTGAAAACTTGTGCATTGGTTTGGAATTTGAAACTGACATGTCAGAGAAACAATATTATGCTTAGTGGTTGGATTTGAAGACAGTCCACTAGAGCCATTTTAACCTATAATATACCTGAACACGGGATTATGCTCACTGTACTAGACAAGTATGGTGGTAAAGTAGTATGAAATTATTTTTAAAATACAACGCTGAGTACAACAATAGTTCCAAGTCTAACTTGAAATACCAGGAATACATTTTCTCTTCCATGAGGCCTGACAGCAGTATTGGGACGTTGTCTGGTCGCATAGTGGTTACCTCTTGGGCTGCCACCTGCAAGGTCAGCATTTTGGAACCATCAGGTGCTCCTGGGGG